TTGCCATTTGGATTTCCTCTTTTGTGAACACAGTGCTTGTTCGGGTATTTTGCCATTCTCCTACTGGACTGTCTGGTTTGTTTCTTGTAATTTGGAGGCATTCTTTCCATGGTTCTCGACACTAGTCTTCTGTCGGATACTGTCTGAATCGCCTCCTGCTCACTCTGCCTTAAGGATACAGATCCGGCTGAAGGCCCAACACCCAACACTGGACAGATGAGCTTGACAGCCGTTTATCGGTCTCATGCGTTCACAGCCTGGCAGATGAGGACATGGGGCCACACGGGGCCGCACCAGCAGGGGCTGTGAGAAGCAGGCTTCATAGTAACAGGAGGGTGGGGCACCCCCGGTCCCCACAGGGGTGAGACTGGTTTATTAGAATAATTCCACAGGCTGGCAGGGAGTTAAACCCACTACCCAGCAATGAGCAGGAACTGTGCCCGTCCCCCTCGATAAGGAGCATTGTTTAGCTAGGGGACCTTTCCACAGGGGCAGAGTGTGAAGGAGAACTTTCAGTTGGGCCCGTTGAGGGCCTCCCAGTTTTGCTAGGTGACAAGGCAGCATTTAACACTGAACCTTAATTTTAGGACTTACACCATGGCTTATGTGTTACAAATCTGTTCTCATCTTGTGGCTCATCTCTCCCTCTCTAGGTTCTTTTCATGAACAGAGATTCTTTATAGTTCGTACCTTTTATATTCTAATTAATTCTTCACGACTCTAAGGTCAAAGTCACTCCCAGTACTGGCTTCTGAAAGCATTACCGTTGGGCCATCAGTTAGATTCTGGGTCTAGACTGCATCAAAGCCTATCGGATGTGCCTCCAACCCCCTGGCCCTTTAGGGAGACTGAGCCCCCGACTGCTTCGGGGAGCCCATTCCTGCCTCTTCTCAGCATAAGGCTCCTCCACGACATCTCACGATTGCCCCTTCTCCAAGACTTCTCACCGTGGCCAACACATCTCCAGCCAGACCTGCCAGGGCCCGTTTGGGACCTTGCAGGACAGAGGGTCCACCCAGCTCCCTTCCGACTCAGCCAGCCGGCTTCTGTGCGCTCCGTGGGTGGGCTCCTTTTACTCGGCTGGGTGCCACCGAACTGGTGCTGCTCGTTCCTAGGGAGAGAGGACAATGCCTTGCTGTGTCCCGAAGCACTTCCCGATCATCCCCAGGCTCCCGAGGGGCGCAAGAAGAAACACGGGAGATGTGCGATTTGGAATTAGGACAGGTGTTCGTAGTGAAAGTGGTTTTGGTAAAGGTTCTTGAGGAAGCAGCCAAGGACCTATCAGTAAGCTGGGGTAGAGAACCTTCTGTCTCCAGCAGGTAAATGATGTTCCCAACACTGTGATTCAGCTGGGAAGATGGATGCGGATGGCACGTGCCCTCCCTTGTCTCTGTAATTGCTGTCATTTTAATAAACAGAGCTCAGCTCATTCAAGGGATAGTTCAAGTGCAGACAGAATTTATTCTCCTGTAAGCACCAGAGTTTAAATTTTCAAACCATCATTGTTTGTGTTGCCTGTCAGCACGTGGAAATGACATAATAGTAATATAATAGTGAGTACATAGCAAGAGATGGCTCTGAGCCCTTTGTGGGTGTCAACTCAATCCTTACCACCACCACCCCACCAACCTCCATCCGGGGTTCATCTTTATTCTGTGAGGAACCTGTAGCCCAAGGTGCCCCCACAGCCCTGTGTTCCACAGAAGCAGCTAAGTCAGGCAGCCCCGGAACCCTGCTCTCTGTCATACTCACATCAGGGCAAGGGGGCTTCCAACGGGCTCTCCAAGAAAAGGCCATGGAGTGACTTAGTCATCATTTTCTTGTATCTGCAGTGTCTTTAAGAAGAAAGACTACTGTCATCTGTGAGCATTAGTCATCATCTAAAAAATTAAAGGGAATGAGCTTAAAATAAAATCAAGAACATCAGAAGGAACTTGGAGAGAGCCCGAAGGAGAAAATGATAGCACAGGCTAGTCAGGGGTTCGCAGAGTCTTTGCCCACAGAGATCAAGCCCAGGCGCCATCGAGCTGGGAGTCCCTCCTTTTCCACCTCCTGTCCTTCATCGGCCACCAAGTGGTGTCCCCCTTCCTCACAGCCCCTGGACTGCTGGCTGCAAGAGGGGAGGGCCTCCCCTGCTTCCTGTGTTTCTTCCCAGCGCCCAAGGCGGTGGCTGGCACACGGTGGCCCTCAGTCAGCATTGGGTGGATTCTGTTGCGTGACCTGTTTGGACTCTCTGTCCTGCACATCACGTCCCCCTTTCCCTGAGCCTGTTCAGACTGACCTTCTCTAGCCTGGTGGTGTCCTGTGTTCCCTCCCTCTTCAGGCCAGAAAGCACAAGTACAGTCCGGCCGTGCCTTCCTCTCGGCCCCTCAGCGGGTCCCGTCCCCCCCACCCCAGGCGCACAGAACAAGGCACTCACTCCTCTGTGGCCTTCTTGGCTCTGGCCTCGCTTCCCTTTGCACCACCTGCCTCCACTGCTCTCCTCCCTCCTGTGATGCTTTTGTGCGCACCGTACCTCCTGCCTGGAGCACCCTGGCTGCCCGGCAGACACCATCTTGTCCTTCAGCTCCTGCTCAGGGATTCCTCCCTGTGGGAATCATTCCCTGGGAACCTCTCTGTGCATATGACTGAACTCTGTACACCACGCTCAGTGTTCTCGGGGTGCCTTGTTTTGACTCCTGTTGTCTTGCTTGCGCACCACCCCCCGCCACTTCTTTCAGCTAGTCAGTGCATTTTTCTCGAAGGCCAAGCACCATTCAATGTCAGGCACCCAGGGGTGAAGAAGGCAGATGGAGTCCCTGCTCTCCTGGGGCTCCCATTGGATGAAGCAGGCAGAGGACACACATCAGCACATGAACGAACAAGAGAACTTTGAGAACTTTCCTGAATGGTTATGAAACACCTGATCACACTGAGCATTCATTGAGTGATTGACCAGCAGCTTACGCCACCCTCACAGCTTCCTCATCTTTTGGTTGATGGGGGTGCAGAGCCAGCTTTCAGTCCCGACCTCTGGGCCTCTCTCCACCTTCCTGTCTGGGGGACCTGCCCCTCCCCAGCACTTACAGGACCGCAGAACAAGTAGAGCAGGGGGCTTCAGAGGCCAGAGCCCCAACAGTGAGGGTGACATCCATGGGTGCTTCCTCAGGGCCAGTGCCTTCAAAGCAGGGACCTGAAGGAGGTACAGGAGTTAGCCAAACACACGGAGAGGTGCACGATGTCCTCACCTCGGGGTGCAACCTGGGGAAGGCCCAGAAGGAAGAGCAAGCTGGCCAACTGGAGAAAAGGAAATTTGGAGGGTGGGGAGTAGTACGAGCCTCAGAAGTGAATTGGGAGCTTCAGGCTTCATTCTGCGAGCATTTGGCCACCAACAGACAGTTTTTGTTTTGTTTTGTTTTGTTTTGAAGTCAGGGCTATACCCAACATGGGGCTTGAACTCACGACACTGAGATCAAGAGTCACAAGCACTATGGACTGAGCCAGCCAGGCACCCCTGCCAATAAATCATTTTAAGCAAGGTGGTGACCTGATCTGATACAGGCCTCCTTCTGGCTGCTGGTGGAGAATACGTGGGACAGGGACAAAAGTCAATGTGGGAAGACCAGTTTGGTCAGTTCATGCCCCAGATAAGAAATGATGGTGTTCTAGACTGGGGGTCAAAGCCATGGGAATAAAGGGAGGTGAGAGGATCTGAGAGAATTTGAGGGAGGAGTGTGTCTCAGCACTTGGACGTTGTTTGGATGTGAAGATGAGGGCGGGAGGGGGAGAAGCTGAGGATGCCACCAGGGTGTCTGGGATGGGCAAGTGATCAGTTGGCAATACCATGGGGACATTGAGCACAGAGGAGGAGGAGGTATGGGTGCAAAAGAATGCCATTGGGGGTGCACGTCAACCTCTGATCCCCAGGGGACACACAATAGAGAGTTACCTAGATATACAAATTTAAGAGTTTATAAGATCGTGTTTAAAAATACAGGAAAGGATGAGTTTATCAAGGGAGACTGAGGCAGCAAGAGACGTGCCTATCTTCTCTCTCTCTCTCCTCTGTCAGCTTCCACCTGCACTAGCGAATATGGGAGCCACTAGCCACATGTGGCTTTTTAAATACCAATTAAAACAATTAAAATTAAATACAATTAAAAATTCAGTCTTCAGGGCACTGGGTGGCTCAGTGGGTGGAGTGTCCAACTCTTGGTTTCGGCCCAGGTCATGATCTCAGGGTTATGAGATTGAGTCCTGCATTGGGCCCCACGCTAGATGTGGAGCCTGCTTGGGATTCTCTCGCTCCCTCTGCCCCTCCCCCCACCGCACATGTGCATACTCTCTCTAAAAAAATAAAAATTAAAAATAAATGTAATTTTAAAAAACCAGTCTTCAGTCATACCAGCCACGTTTCAGTGCTCATAGCCACGTGGCTGGTTGCTTTCACAGGGACAGCACACATGATAGACCATTTCCATCACCTTAGACGGTTCTCTTGGACAGTGCTGTATCTAGATTCTCTGTTGTATGTTTGTATCTCAGTGCCCAGTCACTCAGAAAAAATAGCACAGTTCCTTTGATTGAGGACACTTTGAGTTGTTCGTTTGCAGGCCTAATGGTCAGAAAAGGAACCCTATGAGTTCTTCGGGGCCCTTCCCATGAGCGAGTGGGCCTGCCCGGGGGTCCCTCGATGCCCCTGCCACCCTGGCCAGAACACAGGAGTGTCGGCAGGTGGGGTCCTCCAGGAAGAGTAGGACTCTCTGCATGCTTGTCCGACTTAACTCTTACTTCTTTCTTGGGCCCATGGGCAATACTTTTGCATTGGAGCAGGTAAACCCTTCTAGGTTATAATTCAGGATGACAGAGTGATGGATTCAAGCGTCTTCACAGAAAATCGGATCTTGAACTTTTCATTTCAAAAACCAGTTCTGAACTGTCTTCAATGTTCAGTTTTGGCTTTTGCTTTTGTTTTTCATCTTCGTTGAGTGTGTACCTTTGTTCTTTATTTTCTTTTTCAGTCAGATGTCATGGATCAGAATTTGTTAAATTTCCTTCCAGAACAAGAACATTCAGAAGTGTATAAAATGCTTTCTTCCCATATGCTTGTGACAGATTCCCCCTCCCCAGAATACTTAAAATGTAAGTTTAACTTTACTAGTTTTACAAGATATAAAGATAAGAATTTTACTTTTGAAAGGAGATTAGAATGAATTAAGAAGGGAGGACTAATTTTAAGAACAATTTTCCTTGTGACTCAGAATATTTCCAAGATCCTTAGAGGTATATTTTAAATTTAAAGCTAAAACTGGAGTTTGGAATATGTATGACATTTAACTTCTCTGTGGAAAATTTGAAAGCATGGCGCTTACGAATAAGAATTTGTTTTGCATGTAATACAAGAAGCTCTTTTTTTTTTTTTAACACGAGAGTCTTTTGGTACCAAACAATGCAAAAATCAGCACACAATCTGCTTATTTTAGAGGATACCGTAATGCTAGATTCGTATGATAACCAAGTCACCAACTGCAGAATGAATAATTAGGTCAAAACTCCAAATTCTCTTCTCCTGAGGCTGTCATCTGGTTATTTATTATATACATTTGCAGTTTTTATGGAATTTTAAAGTTTTTCTCAAAATTGGCAACCTGGATGGAAGGCCAGCCTCAGTGCCTCCTGAACCGTGTGTCCGTTAACGAAGCACAGACATTGAGGGAGATCGTGCAAGTGCCTCGTACTTACTCATTCAGGCCTTAGTTCATTTTCCGTGAATAATGTGTCCTGTTGTACATCTGATTTTACTTCAAAGCAACGTGAAAAGATTAGATTAAAGAGAGCAGCTCTATATGAGCAGCTTTGTTTTAATACACCATATGAAAACAGCCGGAACTAATCAATGCCGACATAACCAACCACAGACATCTGTGAGCAAATTAAGACTAATTGGGCCCAAGTATGGGATGCAAAACATCTATATAAGCTATGAGGGAAAACCCCTGTTCTTCAAAGGTTATAAAACCATGTCCAAGAGTCAGTCGTAGTGAGAGAAATGTCCTGGCCGTGTGTAGACTGAAGCCCGGGAGTTACGCAAAGACACAACTTGTTTGGTCTAGAATCTATGTCATATTCACGTTCTTTTTCTCTTTTTCCTTTGACCACCCAGCTGACAGCGATTTAGAGTTTTATTGCCATCTCCTCAGAGGCAGCTGGAACCCAAAGGAATTTCCAACTTATGAATACATAAAATTTGTAGGAAATTTTCGCTCTTACAACAATGGTAAGCTTCAATTGTCATATAATTGCGACAGTGTCTTTTGTCATGCAAACGTGCACACGGGGGTATAAGACTCACCGAGGGAGGAGGAGTGAGAACATGTGCTTTTCATATTTGCATTTGGATTTTCATGTTCCCAAGATGCGTTTTGTGCTCGTAAATGTTATCTCCCATTCGAGAAGAACGCACTCCCACACTTGTTTATGCCGGGGCACAAAGTCCCACGGAAATGCACTTTATCCATTTACTTAGTTTCAGGCTGATGGAAGAGTTTTGTACTGTGAGAAAAAACGTAACAGTTAATAAAGAACAGGCCCAGCCTACACACAGCCCAATAGGGCTGCATTGGTGACATAAAGATCCGTAACCTTGGTTTCTGCATCTTTATTCTCCTTTTTACACTACTGTCGTGAGCATGTTTCCATGGGTCTGGTACATAGGTCTTCTGCTCCCTCTGACCCTAAGGCACAGGAAGTGGCCACTTTATGACGAGCCAGCAATCCACACTGGATGAATTATCAAGCCGATCAGCAAAGCAGTAAAATCTTACTCTCCGAAATTACCCAGATAACTAATGATCCGAACTCTGGCTGCACCTCTGAACTCGAATTACACCCTCAGTTTCACTTTTGACTTGGGGAAAATGGGAATGCAGGCCCTATGCCAGAAATTCAGCAGAGCAAGCCCCACCCCTACCCCCACCCCCGCTCCACGGTCAAGCCTAGCACAGGAAGGTTTGCGTTTGGTTTGCTCCAGGCCTCAAACCTCAACACAAAACAAATCGCTTTGAATGATCTAACATTTCATAAGACCGCAGAGATGGGAAAAAAGGGAAAGATGAGGCAATAGGGAGTTGATGGCAGCCCGGACTGGGGCAGGCTCTGTCACTGGTACTTAACTCCAGACCCACGGTGGGGTCCGTTACCCCGCCTAATTAGTCCCAGAGTTTCCATGAGAACCGACCAACATAATGGCCCCAAGTCCTAATGCTGAGGCTCTACCCGGGATCTTCCCTTCACCCTTAGACGATCCTCTGCTATATGTTGCTTGCATAAATATACATGCTTTGTCTCAAAGGCTCCAACTAGATGCTGCTAAGCGTGTTGGTCTTGCCAACGTGTTCAGGGTTTATGACTGGATGATGGGCTCCAGGGCCAACTGGGGGCCCTCTGGGAACCTACCCAAACAGGGCTCAGTGTTCCTGAGTGTTTGGAAGTGAAGGGAGGTCAGCTTTCACAAGTGGGGCCCTAGATCTGGGCTACACGGGGTAGAGCCAAAGCCTGACCGTGCCTAACCTAACTCATCTGAAAGGTGTTCCTAAACCTCGTGAGATGAATGTTTAATGAACCACACACACAAGTAAATGGTAGCTGATCGGGCTACCGAGTTAAAGAAACTGACCTAAGAGGCGCCTCGCCTAGCACTCAGAGTGATGCCAGTCCTGGTGTAGGGTTCACTGGGTGAGGCAGCTTGTTAAAATGCAGATTCTAGGGCAGGAGATCTGAAGGTGGGGCTGGGATTGTGCAATTGGAAAAGAACCTTGGGGTTTTGATGAAAGGGGTCATGGACTTAGAGAGACACCGCCCTATCGTAATACTGAATGCCATTCCGTAGGAATTTTAAGGGTACTCCTCACGCTGATGGCGCTCCTTCCAGACAGCTTTATCCTTGAATTAATATAAGCAGGGGTTTGGAATTCGCTTAAAATGTGTGCCATGGCCATCATGCCAGATGCCGGAATAGCAGAGTATCCCATGTGGCAGCCAGCGAGAAAGGGAAAGGCACCCTGGCCGTGGGGAGTGCCAAGACTGTGGGAATTATGGGACGCTGCTCCCACGTGTCCCCATGACAACAGTGCGCCGCTTAATTAAAGAACCGACACGTGATTGGCCGGTGAGCCGCAGTCGCATCCTTTGTTAATTTCCATTTCCACAACTCTCTCTTAAGCTGCTGCTGAGTATCACTTTGAAGCTTCCTGTCACTTATCACAGTTTAGAGGGTTTCCGGGAAAGAGGCAGGCTTCGTTGTGAATACCTGGTTGGTTTGTTCTTTTGTTTTTTTTTGTTTTTTTTTTAAGCTAGCAAAGCTTTATTTTCACTTCAAGTTGAGACCATGTTTGTTTGCCTGAAAGAATGTGTGGAAATTATGTGTGATTTTTTTTTCTTTTTTTTTTTTTTCTTTTGGAAACTGTTACTGCTATAAACACACAGCACTGAAAGTGGAAAATTTAAAACCAAGAGTGCCAGAGTGTCTTTCCAGAGCCTGTTGAACAAATCAAAGTTAGGGGGCTTTCTTGAGACAAGAGTCCCCAAACGTAATTGTGGAAAAACTGAAGTATAATTCTCACTTGGATGAAAATAAACAACAAATGTCAGAGATAAATGAATTTCTAAGATGGAGCCCTATAAAATCACCAGCATTCAGTCATTTTTGACCTAGAAAATACGGTTTAACATACTCTAAGGAATACTTCAAATTTGATTTTGTAGGTTTACTTCTCAATAAGCCTTGAACAATGGGTTAATAAAAATAACTCACTTAGGAGTGTTTCCCAAGTCCCAGGTCCTGGGCTCGGTCTTTGCATTGATAATCTCATCGAATCCTCCCACCAACCTTTTAAGCAGTCCTGTTGGCATCATCCCATCTAAACAGGAGGAAAGTGATGCATATAAGAATCTGAGGCACACACGTGGAAAGTGGGGGACCTACAATCGTACCCATTCTAACCCTGGAGTCCTACCCTTCACCCCATTGCTTTGCTGCCTCCCACAAATCTATGTTGAAACTAAGCTTGTTTTGTAGCTGCGGCACACAGGCCTGTCCCTGCCACGCGGCATGCCCTTGGTACAGGATGTCTGTACCTGTGCACACCAGATGTCCTGCGCCCATGTACCAAGCTGCTTTCACGGTACCCAAGATTTGTTTTAAGTCAAATATGGTGAGACACACAGACATGGAAATGACTGTCAGGAAAGAAGAGGTTTATACTCACAGATCCCTCCAAACAGGCCCAGCACACCACAGAGGCCACATGGGGAAGCACCAAGGGAGGTCAGGGGGCAGGGCGAACAGGAGAAAATGTGGGCAAGAGCCACTCGTGTAGCTTCTCTGGAAAAGAAGGAGCAAGGCAGTGTAAACAGGCTTCAGTTTGGCTAGCTGGAATCATTTTAGTGGGCTCTTGGGTAGAAGGGCTGTCTCTAGTTGTCAGATGCCTGGGTTGGGGTGTGGGCTCTAGATGGGTTGGTTTGCCTATGAAAGGTGCACGGGAAGGTGAGTCATTCACTATTTCTAGGAATTGGCTAACCCAGAAAGGAGCAATTCCTTCAGGGTCGGCAAGGCCCCAGATGTCAAAGTATCAAATACAGACACTAGAAAATGTGGTTTGTACACAAAGCCACCCCCTGCCACTTCCCTGAGTTCCCAGGCCTGGCAAACACTTAAAAACAATGTGTAAAGTATAGCAGAAAACAGACAATGAATACTGGTTTTATTTTAATAGAATCCCTGCTCACACTTCAGAGGACTTCATAGGAAACCCTACTCTGGCCCATTATCGGGAAAAGTTCTCTCATGTCTGTAGGGCTGTTTAGTTTATGGGGCATGGCCTGGTCCATTCTTCTTTGATGCCTGTCAGGAAGATGCAAGGCTCTCATTTTTATAAATAATGGAGTGGAAAGGACAGTGACCTTTACTCATCTGTGAGCCTACGCAGTCCATGCCTGGTACATAAATAAGGCTCAACACAAGTACATTGGCTAGACTGAGGCTCAGTGATCTTGGTCCTGCACATACAGGTGGTCAGGGACAGCAGCAGGATTCAGACCCGACTTCTGACTCATGGGGAAATCTGGCTTTTCCTTGAGAACTGATAATACAGCTCTCCTTGACGGACCCCAGAGCCCACCCAGAGATAGAGCCCCCGATACACCTTTGACCTTGAATCCAAAGTGAAGATTAAATCCACTTCAGTACGTGCTGGGTAAACTGGCCCATGTGTAACTTCCAGTGATTTGTGAATTTTCTGCACTGGAAGGTCTAGGCAACCGTGCATGGTCAGTGTGAGGTCATCTTTGGCCTCCATTGCTCCCTAGTCTGTGTCCCCCACCACCAAGTTCCTTAGCCCCCTGGGCTCCCTGGGTGTTCCCCGAGGTCCTTAACCGGACCCCTGACTCAGGCATCCCCGCCAGGACTGTTCCTGCCCCACTCTCTTCCCTGCCTCTTGTTCACTTGATCACCCAGTTAGCCTTAAGGCTGATGGAGGCATGGTCTGCAACTCGAAAACCACGTCTATAGGAACCCTTGGGCCTTATACCAAAGGGCAGAAAGGGAAACGTGTTGGCTGCAGGGCAGGGAAGACGGGGGATACGGATCCAGAGGGAGCTTTTGGTGACCCTTAAGTCACGCAGATGAAGACACCATCTGCTTGCCTGCTAACCCACGTAACCGCTCAGCATTCGTCTGCCCTGTCACTGGTAGGAGTAGGCGGGGTTGGGAATTTGGGGTGTGGAGAGGCATAAGGGTACCTTGGCCCTTGTTAAGGCGATTAAACTCTCCGGTTGGACATTTCTAGATTCACCACCTTGCCCCTGTCCCTCTGACGCTCTCCGTTCACCAGGGCTGGGTAGACACAGCACCGTTGCCCAAATGCATCAACAAAATGGAATTTTCTCCTGCTTCACTATTTGCACATCTTGGTCACTCCTTAGGACTTCATCATTTGCTTCAGATGTTCGAGGCAGGGGAGAGGACGGAAGACAGGATTGCACATCTTTAACCTAGATTCTTTAATAAATGTGAAGAAGTACATGTCGGGAAATGAGACAAGAAAACAGCTTTCCTAGAACTGTTTCACTTTAGGACAGTTTCTCACCAAGTCTGTGAAAACCATCTTGAAGGGATCCGAGCTGGAATACAGAAGTACGTGTCTCCTCCTCTTCCCCTAAAAAAGCCTACTGTGTGACCTTGGCCATGTGGCCTGGAGATTCAGGGAGGACCGCTGGTGT